GTGTATTTTTTGTCTACATAATCTTTTATATTAACACACATGCCATTCCAAACTTTAAATTACTTATGGATTTAAGAATATTATTATAATTGCATTACAACTAAATCTTTCCATAACTGTGAGAAAGTAAAGGCTTTCTTTATAGTAAAGATTTGGTGTGATATATCACATTGGTCATCCTAAAGTGCGTGCTCCTCACAACAGTTCCCGACCCTGGTATATTACCTTAACCCTCTTAGACTATGTATTTCTATACCAGCTCTTGATCCATGGTACCGTTTATTTTAGATGAATTAAGTGGTTTGGTGTTTGATCAAAAAAATTTCGGTTTTGCTACCGGTACATCAAGGTGTACATAGGCGTGTACATCACACTCACATGGGGAGTGGGATCCGCTCGAATAAAAAAATATTTTATACACGTGGGTCCCACCCCCATGTGAGTGTGATGTATATCATTATATACAATTCTTGATGTACAAGTAGCATTTTTGAAAGATTTTATGTGTTTAGATTTGTAGGCTATTGCAAGAGATATTGAAATATGTTTTTCGCCTTTAAAGAAAAAGCTCTTGACTTACAACAAGGCTCTACTAATCGGATCAATATATAGTTGAATAATAAGCAAAAAATATTGTGGCTGAATCAAGGAATCAATGAAAAAATGTTTAAATCATCAAAGAATGATCTTTATATTCAAAACATTGTTCAACCACAGTTTTGGACGTCACATAGGGTGTATATTTACAATGGGTAGTGTTTGAAATGAAAAGGAATTCAAAAGCAGTTAGAAAATTGAATATTATTGTTCCTCGGATAACCATTTCACTCAAGCGCCAAGCCATTGCCAGCTCAACAGTCATCATAATTTTCTTCTTAACATTCTCTCCTAATATCGGATTGAGGTTATTCAAATTTCGTTGGAAATATAACTTAAAAGGCTATAATTCTTTTAGAAGTAGTCTTGTCCAAATTTCAATATTTTCTACATGAAAAATGCATTGCAAGTAGTCGCTGAGAATTTAAAGCATGATTTGTGCAACACTTTACACTTCTTTGACTTTTAATTGCATTCCAATAATCACATGTGATCTTTTTCAACATTTTGGACTCCTTCAAAACCTATACTACCATTCCAACTCTTTTAACTTTAATTATGACTCAATACCTCTTATTT